ATAATGCCTTCTTGCAAGTGATTCAGGAACCAGCGACTCTGCTATTACTTTCACTGTCCTTTACGCATTGATAATTCTAGCCTGGACTTGGACGGCATAAACATCATAGAAATTGGGACATGGTTCTTTTTTTTAGCGCGGGAGATCTTTTTCTTTATGACACGACCGCGCGAAGCATTATTTAGCATTAGAGAAGAGATGTGTTTTCAAATGAATCACTCCCATCAATCGTGAGTACGCTCCTGGTAACGCAAAGTCACGCGATCGATCCGTTATGATCCTCGCCATTAACACCTACGGTAGAAACAGAATCGTACGGATAACGCGAACGTTTGAACAAGTGGACGCGACCGTCTCGCGGATGGTTTAGAAATGATTTTCTTTTTCTCTTTCTGAAACAATTTAGGATCCTCATTCTCGTGCCGCAATTTCCGACTCACAGCCATGCATAGCACCTTCTCCGCCGTTTCACCCGTTCTTTCGTCATTGACGTCTGAAATTCCCCCAGATTTGGCACGAATTCGCGATATCAGGTTCTTCGATCGCGGGATCTTCTCGCGGCGAGTGGCAGAAAGGATATCGCTCGCATCTTGTTCGAGTCCTCGACTGACATCTCTTCATTCCCGTGGGTGTCTTCATCCTCAGACGCCGTTCTTCGCATCAGAGCATTAAGAGATCGCAATGCAGGGGCTTCCGGTACCTATCTCGCGTATTAATATTTGATCTCAGATCGAATGTTCTTGTAGCTCCCGCTCGACGCCAATTGTCGGTTCCGCGATTGCTAAAATATCTGGCAGTCACCGTCGCGGGATCGTTCGCGAAATGTTGTCTCACTTGTAAAGCGGCAATCTTCGCGTGTTCCGTGTGTTGCTTTCGAAACGGTTGAGCCTTCGCTAAACTGTGCTAGTCGGCGAGAATAAGGACAACACCTTGCACCGTGTCCTCGTGCTGCTTGCGCAACGTTTCGCAGAACGAAAGGGCGACAAGCTGCCGGGGAATCCGTTCCTCGATTCCACAGATTTAGACCTCGATTGATATTCTACGTCGCTAAGAGCCGTGTTATCGCGTTGCCCTAAAAAAGAAAGATTAAGCTCTTAAACCATAAGAGGTTTGGTTAAGAGAAATGGTTTGATAAATAATAAGAAAATAGTTAAACAAAAAGACTGAAGTTTCGGAATAAAAGTAAGCAGCGAAAACTCTGATCGCTTAGGCGGTCGTCTACGAGGTTTTAAGGCGTAAGATTTAAACTTGAAGCCAGAATTTGTAACGTCATTTTTGTCCGTAAAGCTTTCCCGACTTTATCTTAGCCGTAACGTTAATCTGCAAGCACAATTTTGGCAAAATTTCATTTCTTGCGATTAAAAATCTGTGGTTCTGCAGTCGAGTGCGATGTAACGACCAATCAGAAGCCTTCGGTCTTTTCTGAGTTCTAATTGTTTTTTTTTTTTTTGCGATCATTAAGGGCCTATCCAGGCAAACTTGCATAGCGCATAAACATAGGCATAAAGAAAAAAATTTATGGTCCATAAACACCTGCATAAAGAAATGGTCAAACCAATGGAATGAAGAGTATCTGGGGAGTGTTGCCGAATGCGTACTAGTCATCCAATGCGTACCTCATCAATATTTCATATTAGTACTTAATATATTAGTACTTAATATAAGCAACATTTAGTAATAACAATATGAAATCAATGAGAAATAAGTAATATAGACAAAAATTAACATAATGCATCTTATTTTGTAAATGCTAACAACATTTAAAAAATTCAGGTATAACTGATGTTACTTTTTGATCAATTTATATACAGGGTGTTATGTAATATCCATCCCACCTCTTATTTACGGATAGAGCGGACTAGACCGAGTCGAAAAGGCCTCTACCATTTCGCAAAAGTTAACGAGTTATTAATTATTAAAAATCGCTGCCTTAGCCCGGCCGACCGCCCAATTCAAACGCGCGGCGAGATGCGGCCGTCCCACGATCGGCGTTGCTAAGCGCACGAGGAGTTGTTTATTATACGAAGCCGTTGCCGTGTGTCATAAACAACTCACGCGCCTAGCAACGCCAATCGCGGGGCAGCCGCATCTCGCCGCGCGTTTGAATTGGACGGTAGGCTGGGCTAAGACAGCGATTTTTAATCATTAAAAACTCGTTAACTATTGCGAAAATTGCAAAATGGTAGAGGACTTTTCGACTCAGTCTAGTCCGTTCTATCCGTAAAGAAGAAGTGAGGCGGGAATTACGTGACACCCTGTACAGCTGATTATAATGTCACTATGCCATTTTATTATAAATTTTTGTTTTTTCATAAAAGAAGGTTTATTGTCAAATTTTTAACATTTATTGCATATACATATTTACGATTATTATAAGGATTAAATAAATATTTTTATTAAAATCCATCAAGTTTCCTAAATCGTACTGTCACAAGGTTTCCTATCTTCTACCGTACGATTTTATAAATAATAAACGATATATGTAAGAGTGATAAAATTTATATAAATATAAATGTAAATTGCAAAAATAGCTTTAAGCTAATTGTAGTTTAACGTCCTTTCCAGTATCGTTAATTATTATTTTTAAATTATTAAATAACTGACATTTTTAGATAAATTATTAACAAAATAAGTATTAGTTAATACTTCCTTATATTAAGCTTATACTATTTATTTAGCTTTTTATTATTTTCACTCATAAATTTGACTATTTCAAGGAAGTACGATTTAGGCAACCGGTTTCCTAAATCGTACCCTTTGCAACATGTTACCAAAAACTTATAACAAATTAATTTGTTATTAGGGAAACGTTAAATATGTAATAATAGACGCCTGAAACATCAAACTACAATTTCCAACGGTTGTTTGCGTACAAGTCAGTACCAAATGGGATATACATATAATAAATAATACCTTAAGTGATATACATTCGGCAACTCTTCCCTACTTCCGTAAATTAGTGGAGCGAAGTCTGATGAATGAGGGGAAAATCGATTGCGGCCATCTCGACTTATCAGATTTTACGTACATAAAACACAGGATATATCCATTGATTTTAACCAAGGTGTCGTTACGAGTTAAGGTTGCGCAAATAAACACGAAATACGTATTCATAAAAATACCGTTTTCCGTACAATTAAGCGTCACCGCCATCTTCATTGATCATATTCTTCCTTTTACTTCGGGCCTTAATCCCGCAGAAATATGTTTCGTCAAGATAGTCTTACGTCAATGAGCTATTACTTTATGTACATGTTTATGGAAGTTTGATTACGAGACACGGTAGTGTCTCGCGCAAGTATAAGCTTAGCTAGAACCGCGCTGGATAGACTCTAAAGCTAACGGTACACGATACTAACTTTCCTATACTTTGATTGATGTCTATTAAGTTGGCACAGTCATTTCAGCACAATCAAATGTGACTTATGTAAAAATTAATTGCTATTTTTGGCTAATAAGTTGCTCTAGTTTCAATTTTTTTTCTCCAGCCGATTCGCTAAAAACAATGGTCGCGTCAGCTTAAGACAAAAGTTAGCACAGCCACAAAGAAAAAAACAAATAGGAAACTAAAAAACCAATACGTATTTTTGTAGTTCTATCTAATTGCTAATTACATAATTGTTCTATTTCCAATATTTTTGCTCCAACTGATTTGATAGAAGCATCGGTTGTGCTATCTTGAGACGAAGGTTTGCACAGCCATAAAGAAAAAGCCTTTGTGAAGCTAGCACCGCCTTCCCAACATTAAAAAGGATTTCGATATACGCCATAATTAAACTAATGTAGTATTTTACGTGTATTTGAATGAAGAAACAGATTTATGTTTATGTATAAACTTATCGTTAACTTTTTTAATAGTAAGAATGCTACACGGAGAGTTTTTTCTTAAAATTTATCCTGAAAATCATGTGATCGAGGGACAACGTGGCATTTCAAAGAATTATATAAAATTTTTTTGAAATTTTACCATACGTTGTACTAATAATTATACTTGGTATACATTTTACTAGTAGAATGTATGGTAAAATTTCAAAAACTATCATATAGTTCTTCAAAATGCCATGTTGTCCAATGATTACATGATTTTCAGGGTAAATTTTAACAGAAAATCCTCCGTGTAGCTTCACGGAGGTAGAAAGAAGCTGGAAAGTGAGAAACGGAGATGTATTTTTGTATAAATACTATATGTTAATATGTTGCTTTAGTCCTGATTTTGTTGTCCAGTTGTTAAAAATAACGTTAGAAACAGCGTCTGTTTCGTTAAAAAATAACTTACCGAGACCCGCTATACAAGAAACTGAGTTTTCTGGTATATCTTATTTTTGCATAGCAAGTCTCGGCGAGTTATTATTTAAAGAAACAGACGCTGTTTTTAACGTTATTTTTAACATCTGGATAACAAAATTGGGACTAAAGCAATTAAATAAGCATTTATACAAAAATATGCCTTCGTTTTTCACTTTCCAGCTTCTTTCTACCTCCGTGAAGCTAGCGTTCCTACTATTAAAAAAGTTAACAATAAGTTTAACATACAAACATAAACCTGTTTCTTTATTCAAATACGTAAAATAGTGCATTAGTGATGTATGCCAAATTCTTTTTTCAATGTTGAGGGGGGGAAGCGGTGGTAGCTTCACAAAGCTTTTTCTTTATGGCTGTGCAAACCTTCGTCTTAAGACAGCATAGTCGATGTTTCTATCAAATCAGCTGGAGCAAAAGTATCGAAAATACAGCAATTAATTAGCAATTAAATAGAACGCCGCTTTAAGTACACTTTAACATTTAATTCGATGCTTGAGCTAACAAAATAACGTCGAAAAGGATTCAATAAGGATTCAATAAGGATTTCATCCTCCCAACAAATTGTCGTCGGGAAGAAATCGTCTTCGAATTCTTCGGGAGGAGAGATCTGTCGCTGGATTGACACAGTTATTCCCCAGCTATATCCGATATCCTCGATTTTCGTAAGAATTACATTTGAGAAGCGCCCGTCTCGCTTCTGAGACGCGAGAGCGAGAGCCTTCAACGGTATCAGGAAATCTAGCCTCGGTGAATTTACCTTCAACAAAAGAGCGGCGCCTCCGGCTGGTTCCACCAGTGGGCGGCCAGGAGTAGGTAGAGCTCCTGATCCTGGACGGTGTAACCGGGTGGCGGTTGAGAGGGCAGGGGTGGCGGGATAGGCGGCAGCAGGGAGTAGGACGGCGGCGGCGGCGACGGGGACAGGGATTGCGAGAACGTTGTCGTCGAGAGTGGCGTCGGCGGCGTCGCGGTGACCGCTGTTGGAGGCTCGTCCTTAGCCGGAGATCAAAGCGCACAGTCGAACATTGCCAGCGACCGTGTGATCACATCGTCCTGTATCAAAGTTCATATCAACTGAGGACCCCGTTTTCTTTCTTTTTGTTTTTTTTTTGCTTTTCTCGTCCCTTCTCCTCAGAAATTAAATTAAGTTAAATTCAGCGCGAGGGGTTGTAAGTTGTACGCCTTGCCCGGAATATTATTCCGCTATCGACGAGAGCGCTGAACAAACTACAAATAAGTTCGCGCAAGCTCTGTAAGCATCGATTAATCTCCGGTGGCCCTTACTTTTGTTCCTTGCATCCGTGCTTCACGTGCACCGCGTGCAGATACAAGGTGAAACGTTGCGCGTATAATCAGTTTTTGGGGTATTTTTGGTGCATTGGTTCTCGTTGCATTCAATGATTTGCAGGTTATAGGTTTGGGGTAAATTTCTGACTGGTCACAAATGCGCGTCCATGGAAATGTAACACATGGTAGTCTGCATCATGGTTCGAACAATATTCCCATACGGAACATAAATATCTATTAGATATCTAATGGATATCCACGACAGATATTAAGGATATCCATGGATACCAGAAAAATCTCCGTTAGATGAGCTTTAGATATCTATTTCATTTATATACAGCACATATGGTTGCAGTTACATTGCAGAAACGTTGCAATCTTGCAGAGACATTGCAGGGATATAAAATTACAAACTTTCGATAGCAATATTGCAGCAATGTTTCAAAAATAATGAAAATACTATATTTTCTATTTAAAAAATTGTTCTAATTACGAGAATTTTAAAATGTTATTTTCGCACGAATTTATGCACGAATTATTAAGTACTTGATCAATGCGGTGTTGCTCGCAATCTCCATCTATTGCGAAGCGACATAATCTCCTTAGGTTGCTTCGCAATAGCTTGCTGTGTATTGAAAAAGGCCCGGATGCATATGTAATTAGTAAATTCTCTGCTTATGTACAACAACAAATTATTCCAAAAATATTGCACTGCAACGTTGCAGCAATGTTGCGCAACGTTACTGCAATGTTGCAATCTTTCTGTGCTGTGTGGGTAGACATTTTATACATCTATTAGATATTCGTAGTAACTATGGACATCATATGGATATTTATTAGATATTTTATTCTGCGTGGGTTCGAACTTGCAGTTCTTGGTGAGACATGCAGGATATATTACTTTAATAGAAATATATAATCCGACAGTTAATTATCGAGATACGTAACGTGGAAAATCATGAGCTTCATTCAACAAGAGGGAGTCTCGAGTGTCTGGTTGAACTGCGAGTCGAAACTATAGCTGAAAGAACACCCGGCAGATCTGGGCCATCTCGTATATACGTACGTCTCGAGGAACTTGGCATTCATTTACGAAGGGAGTGCATACAGAGTGTCCCGAGTTCACTATACCTTCCTCTATTCAGACTTAAACCAGGTTGAAGTTATTATTAAAATAGTCGGTCCTTCAATGAGAGAGTGTGATAGCGAAAGTGTCGAAGAAAAGTCGGTCGTGCATCAGTCTCAAAGGGTTTACAGAGACAAAAGGGCGTGTGGGGACGCCCTGTATACTTTCCGTCTACTTGATCGCGCCCGGTTGTTTCACGGCCAGACGTACCTTCAAACAACTTTCGATAAATTCCTCGATCGTGATAACACCGTCCTGGTTGAGATCGAGTTTCTTGAAGACCCTGTCCAGCTGTTCCCTCGCCTTCCTGTCCTCCTCGGCCTGATGATGCCGCCTGCCCATGAGCTCGTGGACCGCCGTCACGACTTCACCCAACTCGCCCCTGGTGATGCAGCCGTCGCCGTTTATGTCGTACAGCTTGAAGGTCCATCTCAATTTCTCGTAAATGCTGCCCCGCAGCAGGGTCGACAGCGTCACGAGGAGGTCCTGCAATCCCCGGGATTGTGTAAAGCCGCGCGCGACCTTGATACGAAGCGCGGCGGAACGACAATACGCTTCCTCCTCCAGTGTTCCGGCCAAATCTCGTCCAAGCGTCGAGATCGTCCACGTCGCGAACTCCACGAAAATTGAAATAAAATTTCACGACTTCGCAGATAACGAGAAACGGTTCGGACGTAATGAACGTAAAAAGAGCGAGAGGAGCAGAAAACCGGAAAGAAAGTTCACTGTTTCTTTCTTGCGCTCGTAGAGACATTCTCCGTCACGAAGTGAAAGATTGTAATAAAATTCTAATTCTAATAATGCTAGATACTTGAATAGATAAATTAAAGTATTAAAATAATATAACACTGCATATTAAAATTCTGATTATTGCAATGACGCAAACGCATTTTGGAGAATAAAGCGATATAATTTGTCAAGGAAAAGAAATAAAAGCTTTTCGTCGCCAGTAAACAATGAACAAATTGAAGAGATTATTGAACGACCCAACTGGCAAGTGGTTCATTGAAATTAATCCATTTTACAATGTTTTAACCATCCGAATTGTGGTACTTCTCAAGTAATATTACGAAACGATCTTCGTGCTACTTTAGGTCTGTCGAGATAAAATTTCGGGAGAAACTTAAATCTCTCTACACCGACTTGCCAAATTGACCGTGCGATGTTTCTCAAATATTATACAATTAAATAAAATTGTCATAATTTGTGCACCGTTGAGAGCAAAAGAATTATTTAGTGAATGAATAACTTTTATAATATAGATACACACAACATACACAAACTGTCTATATTATAAAATACATGATATAAAGAGAGGCAAACTGTTTATATTGCTTATATCTGGCCTTATATTGTTACGTATAGCTACAAAGTTATTTGCGAATGCATATTTGAAAACCCGTAATTATGCAAAGAGAAAAATACCATCTGTAACGCAAAGCATCAGCGAGGGAAATTAGTCAAATAAAACGGCATCCACGTGTTCTGGACATAACTGAGTTCATGTCCCACGCGAGTACCCGCGCTGGACCACTGAAAGCTGCTTTAATCCCACGTGCCGATGCTCAGCATCAAGCTGCCATCGCGGCCTTGTAATAAATTCTCGTATGTGCAAGTGACCGCGCAACATTCGCGCGGAATGACGGATGATCGACCGCCCCGTGAGAGCTCCGCATTTGCCCCCTGGTATCCGACGCGTATTCCGCGTTTATCGTAAAAACGATTAATTATTCGTCCGATAGACGACTCGTTCAATTGGTCCCGGCTTGTCGATCGGTGGCCGGGTAGTTCGCGTGCCGCATCATTATCGCCGGATGTGCATCGTCCGCCCGCATATAAATGCCTCCGCATTTGCGTTCCGCTGGTCGAAATGCCGAAATTTCCCACCGAGATTCGCTGTGCCCGCATTTCATTCGTGCGTCAATGACGACCGGCGGACCAAACCGCGGGAATCGTGGCATAAAATATCGCGGCATTGGGCGTATTAAGTACAGCTTGAATTAGACATCAGTAAAATTAGATTAAATCCGAGCGGTTGACGAGCAATAATGCGCTAAATTTGTAATTGATGCACAAGGCGTTTCGCGTTATGATCAAATAGCTCACGCTCGCTTCGTCATTTCGGCTTAATAATTTATTAATTATCCCGTAGTTGATTGTCAATGGTAAAGCTACTATTTACGTAAATAGCTCCTTTAAATAAAATATATACTTTTTACTCTTCACGAAGTAGGGTAAAGGCACCTAATATCGCCTATCAAAATTCAAATCGTTCTCACTTAAAAAGTAATTGACATTTTTGTATTTAGTCCCAAATGAAAGAGGAAACATTTGTGTTTCATGAATGTACAATCGGTTAGAACGGTTAAGATATAAAAAATTAAAATCCACATTACAAAGAAACAGAAACGGCAAAATCGGGAGTTTAAAAAAATGGTACCTAATATCGCCAACCTTATACATTTTTATAAAATCATCATTTATCAATATGTATGAGTTTGTGAAGCTATAGATAGGGTGTACTTCCGAAAAGCCCATACCTCCGATTTTTTAAACTACGTGTACTTAAGTATTTTGACGCGCTGGTTACAAATATGATATACCCATACAGCACAGATGGTTGCAGTTACATTGCAGAAACGTTGCAATCTTGCAGAGACATTGCAGGGATATAAAATTGCAAACTTTCGATAGCAATATTGCAGCAATGTTTCAAAAATAATAAAAATACTATATTTTCTAACTAAAAAATTTTCCTAATTACGAGAATTTTAAAATGTTATTTTCGTTGATACCAATAATGCACGAATTATTAAGTACTTGATCAATGCGGTGTTGCTCGCAATCTCCATCTATTGCGAAGCGACATAATCTCCTTAGGTTGCTTCGCAATAGCTTGCTGTGTATTGAAAAAGGCCCGGATGCATATGTATAATTAGTAAATTCTCTGCTTATGTACAACAATAACAAATTATTCCAAAAATATTGCACTGCAACGTTGCTATAATGTTGCACTGCAATCTCTCTGAGGGCGGATATTTCAACGTTGCAGCAATGTCGTGCAACGTTGCTACAATATTGCAATCTTGCAATGTAACTTTTCTGCAATCTTCCTGCAATCTTTCGGTGCTGTGTGGGATACTGAAAATTAGCGTAACTTTTATTTTCATGGTGAAAATCAATTTCTATATAACGTAGTAACTACAATATGTCTTCTTACACATGTTTAGCCAGTAATTCTATGTATTGCCGATTGATATCAGCACTTTGCTCACGATATCACGAGTGGTGATATTACGTTCTGGGCGATATTAGGTGCCTTTACTCTACATTTCGCGTACTCGAAAATCAAATGAATAAAATTTACTCAAGAATATCCGAGTAACTGCTTCGTCTCATCGAGAGGTAAACCGCTGACCAAAATCATATACACCAATGCCCAGTGGGCGTTAGTGTATCTTATAATGTTATCTTATTTTATCTTTATAATGCCCAAACTAATGCCCAGAACATGCCTAGTAACGTCCAGTAATGTCGCAAATCTATACACCACAATGCCATCAGCGGTTTACCCCTTGCGTTTCATTGATAAATGTATACGCGCATTAACATGTACGAGGTCAACACACGCTGAAAAATATGTCGTCGCACGAAGAGTGCGCGACGTATTTCAAGACGGAGACGCCCGTTGTGTGCCGTCTTTCGGGAGCAAAGGTAGATGCCAGCAGACATATCGGTGAATTTAAAATTAATAAAAAGACTACAGATTACATGAGAGAGACTTAATTACCCTGAAGCTGATGGCTCCGTTGCAATTAACGTCGAAGGCCTTGAATACGTAGTGGGCGTAGAGACTGGAGTCTGCAATTCGCATGAGGGGTGGCCATTAACTAATTACGCAAAAACGTGGGCTGTTATTTAATTGGAACTCACTTCCGTGCGGGAAGAATTTCGCGTAAATGTCCTTGAACGAGTCCTCGTGCACTACTCCCTCGGGACACTCCTGAAAAAAGGAGAGGGAAAAAAGGTCGTGAAAAATGATCGTACTCAGTTCCGCGAGTTTTATCAGGGCGAGATTAAGCGACACTCTATATACCATATATACGTATAGCTTTGCCGGCGACCATTTGTTCGGACGAGCAATGCTATTTTGTGGCTTGAAAATATGTACTGGTGAGACACCGGTGACGCGTTTCTCCATCAATAAAGCACAGAATAACATTGGTCGAGCCAGTAGATCGCACAGGTGTGAGATAGTAGATAAAACTAACTGCATAGATAACAGTTTATTGATACCATAGGATATCTTTGTATTTTCCGGGTAAGAAATAGCAAATCGAAACAGCAAAATCGTATCGTAAATCATCTATACGGGGAAATTTTGCCAACTCCGGTGAAGTAACTCTCGTGTTTTCCATCTTTGTGCAGAAACGGACGTGAACAATGAGGATCCCGCACACGATATCGCAGAACGTTGTAGCTGCTTACAGGTAAAATAGAACAGAATAGAATATAGAATAGAATAAATAGACTTCTCTCGCGGCGCATGTATCTTCTCTTATCTTGTCTCATGTGTTCTGATTTTCGTACATACTCGCAAGTCGAGTTTTTCTCGAATAAAGTAAAGCAGCCAAGGTGTGTCCTTTCAAAGCAAGTTCAATTTCGGGGATGCACGCGGCGTGTTCGCGACGCGATACGGTAAATCTTCAAAATAAATATCTTCGTATTGAACGGACATAATATTAGCTTCAACTCATTCAGCAATATACGTTTATCCCGGCAAATTGGCTTGCAGGTGCTCGGCGGAGACCTCGCTGTTACCGCAGGAGCAAGAACGTACGCTGCGAGCGGAAGACGCCTCGTGGGACGATGGCGTAATCCCCGATTTAAAGATTCTTGCGCTTCGCGCTATAGTCTCGACCTGGAAGGATAATCCTATTCTGGAGGATTTGCCGACATGCGCCGACAGGGACGTGTTGCTGGAAATACTACCGACTGATCTACCCTTCGAGTTGACGATACCGAGAATCGAGGATGAATTTTATTGGGAACGCGCGGCCAAGGACAGGTAAAACTGAACACCTATTGATTCTCGATTATGTGAAATGTTATTATGTAATAGCGTGTTATCGAACACGATCGTGAGCTTTACGTCAGAATTGTAGATTGATCTGGTCAAATAATAGTTGACTTTATTCGACTGTAATTTCTATTAATCAATTTTAATTTCCAAAATTTCATAAGTTTTATCGACCTACACTGGCTATAGCGATTTTTGTTGACCGTATCAAGCTATTAAAATTATTATTGCGGAAAATATTACCCCAGCCAGGATTCGAACCTGGGACCTCCCTACAATCCGTGACGGGCGTCTTAGCCAGCTCGACCACCGGGGCTGTGATAATACTATTCGCAATAACGTGTATATAACTTTAAGATGTTGTTTACGCATCTATTTCGACTTTCCAGAAACTGTGCGTCGATACGGATTGTCGACCGCACAATAACCTGTCGATATGCGATTTTTAGAATATATAGAATATAGAAGATATAGATAGAATAATTCTAAGAATCGTATATCGAC